ATGAAGACAAACCTGTCTGAGATTGATGTCAGTGATCTTAACAGACCTGGGAAGCAGCACAACTGAAAACTTTCATTGAAAAACGAAAAAATCTAATGTTTCTTTCATTGAAATCATATTTGCATTATAATTTGGAACACAGTGTAGTATGTAGCATTCCAGCCGTTCAGCTTTTTATTTATGTCCAGAATATTTCAATACAAATTCTTTGTGTAAATTGAAAAATCTCAGTTAGTTTTTTTGTTTGATGTCACAGCTGTGGAGAATCAGCAGGACAATGTAATGAAATGGCCAGTTTTCAGTGCAGACAATTGTTTATTATAGCAGCCGTTATGGAGGTACTCCTATTGCTGTAAATGCTAAGGCTGAAGATTGATCAGAAATTTAAAGGAGGAGTAAAGAAAAGTAACTGCATGCTGCCATTTCAGTTCATTTTTGGCAGCCTGCAAAAGATGTGTTATGATAATATTAATAATATCTTTTCATCTTCCAGTTTTGAATTTCTGAGAAGTTACTTACTCTCTCTACATTTGCTTTTCTTTGTCACTTTTTGATACATTTTAGACTACTTTAACTGTTTTACATATTTTATTATGCTGCATCACATTCTCCATTCCTTAAAATTCTTTACTCCTGTTTTGTTATTTTGTTGGACAAAATATTATGTTTATTATTTTGTTTGCACATTAGTTATAAATTACGTTGCAATCAATTATTGTTTTCACTGTCAAAAATATTTTTGATCAATCGATGTATCAGGCAAAGGTCAGAAAATGATTAAATACACACACACACCCACACACACACACAAACACACTCGTGTTCTAGCTGAGAGCGAGAAATTCAGCCCCTCAGATTAATATTACTGACAACACCAAAACGTGAATATATACCAGCTTTACAGATCCTGACTTTCATGTCCTGCAGCATCTTTCTCGGGGTGATAAGCGTGTAATAAGAGATGTACACGCCTCTCCGTTAATGCTGGTACGTCTTTGAACTGGTCTTGACTGAGCATAGCTATAAATCACATTGACGGTGAGGGATGTGCAAGACGGGGCTGTTCAAGTTCAAATTGAAAGCGAGAGATGAGACTGTTGTGCGTGCGTTTGAGGATTCGCAGGATGCGTTTCCTCATCTGATGCATAAAGATAAGTCGCGTGTCCTCGAAGTAACTTAGCAACTGTGAGGATGTTAGACGGCGCCAGTGCTGACTGTAGCGCTGTGTTTATCCATAATTCAGCCACCCAAAACTGACTGGTTCATCAAAGAAGGACAAACAGAGGGATGTCAGAGTGGACAACAGATTTGCATATATATCACTGTATGTAGTAATATATTTCTGTCAGATTAGACTGTAGATATTTTTGTGAAACCCTCATGAAGATATTTCCCTTTAATATAATATGTATGATCAGTTGCAGGAGAATCTTTGTACAATTCTTTTCATTTAATTGCATTTGACAGCATGTTGTCAGTCTGGGTCACTGATCTCCTTTCAGAAATTTTCCCATCAGACTGTGAATACTCAACCATGAATAAAAACCCACACACTACTTTTAGACACACAATATCTTCAGTCCACCGCAACCTGGTAAATCTTGATTACCACCAGCCTATTTATCACTATTCTCTTTCAGAGGTCCAAAGGGTGTGTGGACGTTAGAAGAAAAGGGTGAGTCACCTCGCTTTGACACGACATTTGAAGATGCCCGACCCAGCTTGACTCACATGGCCCTCCTGGGACTGCAGAGGGCCGGGTACCTCAAGTATCTCATCAGCCAGAATGTGGACGGACTGCATGTGCGATCAGGCTTCCCCAGGTAACAACCACCCCCACCCCGCCTACTGTCCTGTAGCGTGATATACACAACACATACCACACATCAATTTTACACACTAAGTAGCTAAGTCAAATTATTGTTGTGTTTTTTTGTCCCTCGTGGGGGCAGTGGAACAAACCTACAACAACACTAACAATTATTTTCCTAATTAATTAATGTGCTAATTATTTTTTAAATGAATCACTTACCACCAGAAACTAAGAACAGAAGATACTCTATTAAAACAATAAAAAACACTAATTTATTCATTTATATTTCAGAAGCTGCAACCCTACTACCCCTAATAGAAAAGAAAGATACTTAAATAATTTGATAATTTTCTGTTGAAGGACTAATCAATTAATGCAGCTTTCAACAGTGACATATTATCACCCAACAAGTTGTTATGGTGATTAATTAGCATTAATCCTGTTTGTGTCTCCCTGATTAAAGATTAAAGTCCACTATTCATTCTCCTTTAGCTCTCCTCAGAGAAATATCTGGCTCTTGAGCTGCCAAATGCTGCACTATGTTCAACAGCTAGTCGCTAACCGTCTGCGGCTGCTGCTGCTGCTGGAAATAAAGTTGATGAGAGTGAACGGAAAGATTAAAGTCGCAGGCTATAAAACCAAACAATGAGCTGGAAGATGCTCAAGGTCCGGAGAGTCGAGGGGAAGTGCAGAGTCGGGTGATAATTCTACGTTGATTTGTCGCCACGAGTACCACTTTCACAGTAAATGTAGTCAGTTGACCTATTTTTAATATGCACTTATTTATTAATGGAGCAGTAGATGTGTCATCCTATCAGATACTGTACAACCGACTGCAGCAGATTCCTAGTGTCCCCAAAAAGGATGTGTACGAAAATGTTCCATATGCTAATATGTGTTAGATTTTAGGGACATGACTGTGCTTGAAGCAAAGTGAGAGGAGAGGGGATGAATAAGTGAGAAGTGGGCGTGAGGTATTTATTAAGAGGAAAAGTTGCAAGTGAATTCCTCAATGAGGATGAAACAACCACGTTATATTTTTTTGTGCATTTTTAATAACTTACAAAGACAAATGAATTGTAAGCTTTCTGACCGTCTTGTTTCACACCAATTTGTTACTTGTTGGGTTGTGACTCATTGTTTTTAAATATGGAGCTGCTGCTTTGTGATAACAGCTGTAACAGAACCAGAAATGGGCCGCTTTTTAAATGCGGCTCAAGTAAATGCTCAGTGTAATGGAAAATGGTTGGTCTGACTCTGGATTATCCAATCATACCTAACTGACCCAAAGGCCAAGAATCCAATTTTTCATTCAGTACGTACATCCAGCCTTTACGCATATTGGAAGACTTGCTTTCCCTGGAAGCCATTTCTCAGCTCTCCCTCTACCCTCCATCAGTCAGGTTGTTTTTTTTTCTTTTTTAGACGAGGCTAGACAGCGAAGCAGTAGTTCTCTGAGGAAATCCTTGAGACAGCAGACAAACTGGTAAAGTAAACTAGTTGGCACTCATCTGCGCAGGTGCCAGTTGGAACACAGAAGTGAATATGGCCTCAGAATATTTATCAGAGTTTGAGTCGCAGAGAAGGACTCAGGAAAAGTTGTGTTGAAGAGTCCTGGAGACAATGATCTAAGTGAATATTGTCTCTGTGATCTTTCTGCCTTTGTGGACTTTTCTCCCTCTTGCTCTATTAGGGATATGTTATCAGAGCTTCATGGAAACATGTTTGTGGAGGAGTGTGAGAAGTGTGGCAGGTATGTATCCACACACACACACACACCAAACAGCAAGATTTTGATCTTGAAAGTCTTTGATAATCCTCATCCTTACAAGCTACTCTTCCTGGCTTTTACTTTGAGGCCATTTTATTAGATACACCTGTTCGGTAATACAAACAGCAAATTTAAGTGGACGCAACACAATATATCTAAAACATTCAGACAGGATGCTTATTGTTCGCCTAACATTAGCATGCACAGGATCAGATGTGAGCCAGATGTTGTCTTTCTAGCATCTCAGAAAGTGGCGTCCTCCTGGGATTTTCACACACTGCAGGTACAGCAGAGAGTGAAAAAACTGCATTTGGTGGCAGTTCTGTGATTGAAAGCACTTCATCCATTACAGAAAGGCCAGACCTGTTAAAGTTCACAGAAAGGCCAATACTGCACAAGTAATAGCTCCGATGTGCAGAAGACCATCAATAAACGCTCAGCTGTTGAAGTAGATGCCCTGCAGCAGCAGAAAAACCATGCTGGGTTCCACTCCTTTCAGAGAGGAACAACAAGAGGAGGGTACAATAGACATGTGATTTCTACATTTATGAAAGGGGAGCCAGTAAATCTTTGATCAGTCAGAGTTAGAATCCCTGATACATCCTGCCATGTTTAAAAGGTAAAAGCCATTGTAAGTCGAATGTTTTCTCTGCGAAAGATCTCACTAATGATGGGCACTATTATCTTTCTCCAGCAGGATAATTTCCCCCTTTCAATGACCACTAATTATCTCAATATGATTCCAGAAACATGACAGTGATTTCTTTTTTTTCCAGTGACCTGCACAGTCTTTAGATCTCATCCAAGTAGATTACTTTTGAGATAAATATCCCTAAAGAGCATTTCCAGAATCGTGTATAGGCCATGTTTTCAAGAAATCTGGCTGTCTGGAGGCAAGAGTTGTGTTTATCTAATAAAGTGGCCTCAGAGTCTATACGATCATGTTTTTGTTCAATTGTGAAAAACTGGATCTTGGTATGAAGCTTGTGAGTGGCTTCTTAACTAAACTAAAGCTGATGTGATTGGACAGAGATGTAATCTGTAGGAGTCTTGGTTTTCCAGGCAGTATGTTAGAGAAAAGGTGATTGGTGTGATGGGGCTGAAACCAACAGGACGTTACTGTGAGGTGGTACGATCCAGAGGACTCAGAGCCTGCAGGTAACACCTGCTTTCACCTCATTTTCAAAATAATGTGCTATGAGACATTAGCATGACTGTGTATTGTTCACTATAACAGAGGAAAGCTGATAAGCACTATACTGGACTGGGAGGATGCTCTTCCTGACAGAGACCTGAACAAAGCCGATGATGCCAGCAGGTGAGACACACAAAAATTATACTAATTACTTTATAGTGTCGGCTGTTTTTGTTTCACAGATCAAATGCATCCTGTGAACATAAAACTGTGAAATAATGTGTTGGATCCATGTGCTTTAGCATTCTGTTCAGCTTTGCTGTCAGTGTTCTGATATGCCAATACGCCTTTATTTGTGAACCTTTTTAAGGTGTTTGTGCGCATCACAGTCTGCTTTAATGTTTCCATTTGCCTCTCGTGTTTCAATGTTTCCATTATTCAATCCTTCAGCCGCAAAAAGCTTTTATTGTGCACTTACAAAACAGCCAGATGAATTTGATGTTTGGATTTCACCTTTGTGTACTTTCAGTGGCCCATATTAGATGCATAAATACCATTTCAATCACAAAGGGATTTGAAGCTCTGACCATTCAACTCACCATTGTTATTTGTTCGAAGAAGCAGGTCGATGTTCAGCATGTTTATTTGTTACAACAAAAATGTGACCACTCTTTGGTAGCACAATCATAATCACATGCTTTCTTTTTTATTTTACTTTATGATATGGAGAGACAGTGAGCTATGCATGGGCTTGCAGAACTGAGTTACATCCATGTGTCATTACTGAAAAGGAGACTGTTGCTGTGGAATCGCTGTGTTTACGCTGTTATTATGACATATATATATATATAT